AGAAGCATTGAAAACGCAAAGGATGCAGCTTGAAAGAAAACTGCACGTAAGTCCTGGCTGAGGGGAGAATGTTTGGGGATTGGGGTTATTTTTAAACAGCAAAATGATAGAACGCCCATTTTTATTGTAGGAGGAACAAAGTAATGCATGAACTTCATGACTAGCCGGAACGTGAGGCAACCAAACTCTGGTATTTCTAGACTGTGATGCAGAACACTTCCCGTTCCTCCTGTGTAATGCTGTTTCTGCCTTTTAACTTGAAGTTGTGTTGTGTGGGTTCTCCTGATGTGTCTTTCTGCAGAGGATGCTCACAGTAAGACAATCTTTCTGCATTTTCCTAGGAACAAAAGCATGAAAATAACTGTTTACAGAGTGATGGAGCCTCTGCCGCACAAGTAGCGCGCAGTAACCACAAACGTGCCAAGCGCCTCATGAAGGACCCGAGCCAGATCCAGCAGGACCGTGTGGCTCTCCAAACGCAGGTATGGCTGAGTGCCAAACACAGCGGGTTTGCGGGAAAGCCGTATCTTCCAGACAAGTTTATATCATGCTGGTTCTGGATCTCCTTCTGTCTGCTGTATCACAGTTAGAAATTGACCTACTTAAAATTGCTGTGTGGTTTGTTTATTTATTTATTTATTTCCCCCAAATCTAGAAGTTAAGCTGTGTTAACAATCAGTAGGATCAGGCAGCTCGGTAATCCTGGTTTAAAAATGAACAAACCCACTCCAGCCAGCCAGTCACGTGCGGAGTTCTCGGTGTAGGGCTGCCCGGCTCTAAAGCAGTATTTCATCCCTCAGATCTCGAAGGCCATGGCAGAGGGGCACAACTGCATGGTTGCCTTCCCATCATGGAGAATTCCAGGCACTGTTTAGGCCAGTTCAGATGGATCCATCCCTCCCCCAGTACAATGACATCTGACAAAGGAGGTGGGCTGAGGGGGGGGTTGGTCAGCCCAAAGCTGGTCGTTAGGAGAAACTGGATGTGGATGCTCCCAAGGAACATACCAAACGCACCCTAACACTTACTCAGTTTAGGCAACGCTTCAGTCAGGAATCAGAACTCGGGCTCTTGTTTACATTAAGGTTTGGTAATAGGAACTTAGCATAACTAGAGTCATAATTTATGCAGATCGCTAAATGTTACCAAAGTTCAGAGCTACTCAGTTGGTATTTAACAACTCGTTAGTCCCAGCCTGGGCCAGCATTTTCGTCCTTTGATATTTAAAAGGTGAGTCCATGTTGTCAGACTCCTTGTAGTCCGTTAATAAATAATTTCTAAATTGTTTCTAAGTCCTTTAAAAGTAGGGTCCTTCAGAGAAGAATGTTGTTAGCAACCAGAAAGCATTCAGGGAAGACTGTGCAAGGTCAGAGTATGGACAGGTTTAAGTTCAGTTGTGTCCTGGGAACTTTAGTCTCTCTGGACAGATGGTGGATTTGTAACCTGATTGCAAGGTGGTGAGACTGTTGTGTGATGTAGGTTAAAACTCAAGACAACCTGGAAAAGAGACAAAGGGAAATGGAGAATGCAGCAACATTGCTTAAACTGGAGGTTGAAGATGAAATTAGGATGGGGTTTGCATCTTCAAGTCCCTCTTCTCTGGAACCGCTGGAAGATTTGTCAACGTCTTCTGAAGAAAAGGGCAGTCTGCAGTGTGAACCTGGTAACTTGGAGACTGGTCCGTTTGCTGCTGCTGACAAAAGGCTCTTCTCCTTGGAAGAAAAGTTGAATTTTTCTAAAGTCTTCTTAACGGTAAAATGCTTTTTACTTGCGCTCCAGCTGAGCGTGTCGGCATCGGTACCTTTAGCTGCAACGCTCAGCTGCTAAGTGTGCTTCTCTTTCCAAAAGGATGAACAGTGGCGTGGAGAGGCTCTGCGAGAAAAACTGCAGCATCACGAAGATCGGCTGAAGGTGGCTCATCGCTTCCCTCTCCCACTGATCTGTCCCTTGGGTCCCCTCTGACCATAATTCAGACAGCCCAGCAGTGGGGGGATCCATCTGCAGCCCTTGCCTGGCCACAAGCTACAGAGTATCTCTGGGTGGGAGCAGTAAAAGCAAGCCCGGCGTCTGCGTGCTGTATCAACATTAGTAATTTTAATTAACAGTTAATAGTTTTTTTTGAGTATTCCAACAAGATTCCCTCACTTACACCACACAGTAGGATTCAGCAACATGACAAATTACAGACACAGGTGAAGGCCAGGTTGAGTTAGAACTCGTCCATTGCTCTCTCTTCAAGCAGTTAATGGTACAGGCTGGAGAAACAGCTTATTTCTGACTGGGGAGGAGGTGGGCTATTTAAACACCATTCACAAACCCACTGCCATCTGCCTGTGGTTTGAGACTCTGAGTGTTACATCCTGTGTAGCTTGACTTTAAGGTCATTGGACTTTTTTAAATACGGTCTTGAAAATTACACTAGCTGGATATTAATAGAACTAATGATTTATTTAGGCTCAGCTCCGGCAGTGCATGTCCAAGCAAGTAGAAGTATTAATCAGAGGAAAACAGCAAACGGAAGGCAGCCTCCACAGCCTGCAGCGACAGGTGGATGCGCTGGATGACCTGGTCAGCAGCACTTCTTCAGATTCGCTGCTTCTAGCCCAAAGCTCAAGTCTAGTTGCTCTTCACAATGGTCTGAATTTAACAAAAACACAGGTAATGCTCCATTGTGTACAGGAATTGTTTTTTTTTTTAAATAATTTTTTAGCTCACTGGTAGTGTATTGCAGCCATCTGCTCACCGTCTTCAAGGCAGTGCAGGGGTTTTCCGATGGTGGGGTGACTGTACAGTGCGCTTACCTCCTCTGGCAGTAGCTAACTTGTTTGAAAACAGGACCTTTTCCTCAAAGTTTCTGCTGGGTTTTGGTTTGTGGGGTTTTTTTTTTTTGTTTTTACCTCTTTAAAATCCAGATTTTTCTTTTGTTTTTTAAAGATTAATGTGTCTCTGCTACTTGAGAACATTAATTTATTTTTCCAGGCTGCTCTGACAAGACTTGCCCCCGTCCCCAGCAGGCCGGCAGGGATTTCGGAGGTGTCTCAGATGCTGCATTCCGGCTCACAAGGAATTTCTCAGTAGAGCCCAGAGGTGAGAGATGACTTTGGCCCAGGTGGAACTCCTCTGACTCATGAGTGTCTCCATGGTTGAGGCTTGTGGGCTGTAGCTGGTGGAGCCCAGGGGCAGCTGTGGGTGTGGGGCTGTTCTCGGACTGCGTTGTCCCTTTCCTGTGAAAGCATTCTTGTGGCTGGTGGCCTGGCCCTTGGTGCTGGTTTGGCTCTGAGATGTGTATTTTCAAACATTGTGGGTGAGAGCTGCTTATGAAGTCTCGTATGCTGTACTGACCAGCTTAAATCTTAAGCTCCTGCCATCCCTGAGCTTTCAGTAACACTGTTCTGGTTTTAATAAAGCTGTAGCGCAGCATCCCCATTCCAGTTGCAGTTAGTTATAATACTAGGCTGGTCCTTAAATGATTTAAGTTAAAAATATTTTACTTCAAGAGCTGCCACACACTAGAAGAGCTTTAAGCACATCTGCAGCTGCTTCTTGGAAGCTGCCAGCCCGCAGGAGGGAAGCAGCCCCTGGGGCCAGGACTGTGCGCGCTGCCTGCACTGCGCAGCAGCTGGAACAGGCCCCACCGTGTGAGCTTCCCTCATGCCGGGGCAGCTCCGCTCACAGCAGCTCTCTTCCAGGCCAGGGCTGATCTGCACACACAGCTCCTGGGACCTGTGCCAAAGCCACCACCCTGGGAGCCTTCTACCTCGCTGCTCTGCATGCCTTGGCTGGAAAGGCGCTGGCCACCAGTACCACCAGGCCCTGCAGCCCGCTGGTGGTACTGCTCTGCACTGTGACGTTTTTGTACGATCGCATAACCGAGCTTTATGTATATAAGGTTTTTAAAAACTATTTTAAGTGTGGGTTTACATGTGTCCAAAGCAGCTCCTCCTATTTAAGTGTAAAAGTGTTTTGTCAGTTTCCACGTTAAAGAAAACTTGTGCCAGAGTTGTCCCTGTACCTGTCCTCAAAGGCAGGGATGTTTTAAATACTTATTTTTAATGAGTACTTCTCTAAAATAAACTTTTATCCATGGTCGGCTTGTTTTGTTGAGGGTTTTAAAGTTGCTCTTAAGTGTATCGCTGCTTCCAGGGTAGTGCTGTACCTGTCCTGGTGTAGGACAGGAGGATGTCACTGCAGACAGTGACACTTGTCTCTGAGGGGCACTGATGTAACTGTTAGGGACTCCATCCAGCTGCCCTCCGAGGCTGAAGGCTGAGCTGTGTCACTTTCCTAGAGTTAAGAGTGGAAAGTGACTTTGTACAGGCTTCAGAACAAGGCACCACCCAAACAGGACCCTGTTACCTAGCAGAGCAGTGTCACCTCCCTGGAGCTGAGGCCTGGCCCAGAGAACAACTCTTCCCCCTTCAAAGCACAGAATGACTTTCCCACAGCCTCTGCCCTTTCCCTGAGGACAGCCTTTGAACTCATTCTCCGTCTCACCCCTTCTCAGCCCCATTATTACTCCCAGGCCTTTTCTCCACAGCAAGTGGCACCTAGCAACTGTCACATGTCACGGGTAGTAAACAACCCTCCCCAGCTCCTGGGCTCAGCCTGGGCCTGTCACAGCTTCAGGAACATTTTGGGCTCTAGAAGACTGGAGCAGCCTGGGAGGTTTTTACCACTTCAGGTCCCTCTTAAAGGTTAAACAGCAGCAGTTAAAGCACAGATACCATCACTACAAGGAGTTCTTGCAGAATCTTGGGTAGCAGTGCTCCCCTTCCTCTTCCAACAGTTTAATGAGACACTCTTCTCAAGAACCAAAGGCCTCCCAGGAGGCCAGCAGCAGCACCTGCTCAGCAGCTTTGGCAAGCCAGCTGCTTCCACATGGACAAAAACTGGTCCCAGGCCTTAGGAGTGAGAACAGGAGCAGTCCCTGGAAAAGAGCTCCAGGGAATGAGCACCCAGTGAGGGGAGAGGGCCAGAGCAAGGACCACACACCACAGCAGTTTATCTAGATACAGGTACTTTATTTACAAATATTTAGATTAATAGCATTGTTACATCAAATGAGGAGTACAGCAGTCCAAACAGCTCCTTTCTGTGACAGAAACAAGACCTACTGTAACTGATTCTGGGAATACAGGGATTGCACCTCGACACGCTGTAGTCATGAGAACATTCACTTCATCCAACTTCACAGCAGCAGCAGCTTGTGGTCCCTGGGCACACCCTGCGTGGTGCAACCTCGGTTTAAGCAGGATGCATTAGCTGTAGATCTTGAACATACCCATCTACTTCAGAATATTACTTAAAAAAAGGACTAACCAGACAAAACAAAGGGACAGTGCACAAGTTATCCAAATCCTATTGTCTGCACATTCCAGTTTTGGCTTTTATTTAACATTGACTGTACAATACTCTGGTACCACTGTTTACTTACAAGTCTGAACATTGGATAGTTTTAGTGTCTAGGGAGGGATTTTAAGACTACTTTGTATTTTAAACACTGCAGTAAGACTGAAGTAGGACATTTGATCATGGTTAAGCACTCACCCCCTTCCACTCTTAAACCACATGTGATCTCTTCCAAAGTGAAGCCTTGTGTGAGACAGAGCAGCACTCTCTGCAGAACACCCGGGTCCTGTCTGACACCACAGCAACCCCCACACGTGCAGCCACCGCTTGACATCACCCCTTCATCTCCACAGTACAGGTTGTGCCGCCCCGTGAAGGATGTACTCAAAGGCTTGATGAGAAAGCCCAAGTCGTAAAAGAAACCCTCAACCAGGACTGTTAAAAATACAAGAGTAGTTAAAAATCCCTAGAGAGCACACGCCTTGTTCCGACTGTCCAGTTCAGCCTCTGACCATTCAGAAAGTTAAAGGTATAAAAGCGTAAGATGTGCAAGAGAACCAGCCTTGGTATACGATGCGAGGCAGGTGATGAAGCCCAAGAATGCAAAAAGCTTACAGAAGAGAGAAGCAGGTTAGCACACTGCTGATTGCACAGAACAGGATTAATAAAATGGCATCGATACACCACAGTGCAACGATGAAAGAGATTCCACTAGTGTTAGATTCTGCATCGGGATTAGAGCTCCCCCGGCACAATGTCCACTGGCAACACCAAGGAGCTAAGCCTAAGTTAGTGAACTGCGGTTACATCGATTTCTGTACTAGCGGGGCAGCGTGGTCACATACTGTACAAACTGATATTTTCTTATATACTGTTCTAATGCCAGTAATCATTTTCTTCATTAAAATCATATACACAGGATGTATTTAACTGTTAGCTCAGTTCCTTCAAATTTTATACATATTTACGTTCTGTTAACAAATGTAAAGGATAAAAGTGGCAAAAAAACCCGACGTAAAGCTATGAGCACAAGAATGAATGGATTGTTTCCCTGTGCAAGTTGCACGTTCCCGCGCCAGCCCGCCCCGACCCCCAGCACACACACCACAGGGAATTCTTTCAACAAAAGCACATGGTTACAGAGCCCCTCGCTACCATCGGAAGTCATTTCACAGCAAAAACTTATCCTTTACTATGGACAGCTCTAAACAGTTAGAGGTGGGGAAGAAAGGCCAAAGAACCATAAAATTAAACCGTACAAGACAAAGCCCTGCGAAAGTGTAAAATCATGAGTCCAGCATCAGTGCTCAGTTTAAATTATGTATCGGTGACACTATCACAAGGACAATCAAGGAAAAAAAAAAAAAAAAAACTTCTAGATTTACCATGCAGGAGAGGTTTTATTACTCTACTTGCCTTTGATAACCTGATTACATCTAAAGTTGTTTAGCAGTTTAGTACTGTGTTAAACTTGTCTCAGAGTTTTAATTAAACCCAATAAGATGTACAGAAGACAGGGAAGCAGTCAAAAGCACCGCCTCCAGCAGACAGAGGTGAAGGGTCAGAAATGGAGCCATGGAACAGAGGTCACTAGCAGCCACAGCCTTCTCTCTGGGGCTGGGGTTCGCTGGTTAGCCGCCCCCCCTGCGGAGCTGACGGTTTGTGCTGTACACCCGACTCTGCAGCATTCAGATCCAGGCTTCCATCTTGGATATTCTGGTAGATTTTCTTGGCAGCCTCCAAGAACGCATCCTCAACGTTCTCTCCGCTAGGAAGAGAGCAGCAGGAGTTATTCCGGTTACACCAGCAGAGCAATGCACAACACGGAGGCAGCTGGCTAGACACCCTCACTGGGACTTGACAGGTCACCAAGTAGAAGCAGTTGCTACCCTGTCCCCCTGCATGTCAGAGGAACTTAGAGTACTTAACGCAGACATACCACCAAGTCTGATAACCTGGCCTTGAGACAGCCTTTGACAGGGCAATTCACTCCCTGGCCTTTAAATCTGTCAGGCTAGCCAGGAATAAAACCTGCATGCCAAACACTGAGAAGCAAAAATAAGCTAAGGCATTGAGCCACGTGCACAGAGCAGACCTGAAAGAGGCTAAAAGTCAAGGGAGCTACTATTAATCAAGATGTTTTTGTTAAAAAGTTCCATTATGACAGGTGCCAGCTGGAACCACATTTACTCGTGTCACTGGAGATCTGATCCCTCGTGTTCTGACGGGCTCCCCAGCCAACCACCCGTGCGGTGCGGTGATGCCTCCCAGTGACCGGAGGGACTGGCTCCTCACTACAGAACTTGCTGACAGCTTGAAACATCCACGGGAAGGAACACCTAACTGGGAATGACTCCGACCCACATTCCACACTCAAACAATGTCTTAAAACCAAATCAGTTTGCTTGAATTCAACAGGTCTTTGCCTGAAATGCAGCGAGAGGTCTAACTTCCAAGTCGCCTTTAAGTTAAAGCTGACATGACTGCAACCGCTATACACACCTTACCCAACGGAACTCAAACAGACATCTTTCTTCAGGTGTAAAACCCTGCTACACCTGAACCTTATGGCTGTACTTAGTCATAGCCAACATACTCCTCTGAAACAGATGACATCTCAGTCATTAGAGAAAAGTAACTTACGTTTTTGCACTTGCTTCAAGGAACAATAAACCTGTTCAGAAACAGAGGGTTAACAGTCAGTGCATAATACAGTTCAAACAGCCCCAAGTCAGTCACATCCCAGCCTTCAGAGCACATGCAAGACACGGGATTTTACGAGTAAGTTAAGGCATCAGTACACAAGATGATTTCTAGAACTAAGCACAGGTGGAGTTAAGCCAGACTATCTGAGGCACGTTGTACATACAATTACATTACTATGGGCATGTAAGCTCGCAGCTAGCAACGCTGAGGATTCACTTTAACAATACTATCTTGAAGGAAATGATACAGCTCAAGAGAAAAAAAGCACACACCATTTTCTTCAGCAAATTGTTTGGCTTCTTCATATGTAACATCCCTCTGTGCTTCCAGATCTGCTTTATTTCCTATGAGGATTATCACCTAGTTCAGAAGAGAGAAAATTAGTCTGGGAAAAAGCTTATTAGCCTTTTCGCTGCTGTCCTCTTTATCAAAAAGAGGAAAAAACAGAAGGAAATATGCGGAAGAGTTTAACTGCAAAACCCATGCACCTCCAGAACGCTGCTCTCCCAGTGCCCCCTCGGTAACGTCAGGAACAGCATCTCCAGCTGTCTCTTTCAAATGCTTTAGGCTGCTCTTGTGAGATGAGGTCCTAAAAACCAGTACTACTCTTTATTCATGAGAAGCGTACTCTGAATCACTTCTTGTATTTGTTTAATCGTCTGCTAATCCAGACAGAATCTTTAAAAGTTTTCTTTCATCACAGCAGAGTCTTCCCACAAGCTTGGTGGTAAAGTATTTTAGAGGCATTCAGAAAAAGCCTGAAGGACAAGAGTGTTGTGGTATGGTCCGAGACACAGAGGAACCGTCTTTCCCCATCCCTCCAAATGACCTGGTCAGCGGTTCCAACCCCAGATGAGACAGCATTCCCCTCCTTACTACCACAGGGCAAGAAGCAGTAACAAAAGTTTAGGTTTGTTCAGAGTTAATTACCATTTTGTTTCCAACTGCTGAAAACGGGCCCCTGAAAGGTGAGCAGCACAACAAGACTTTTAGAAGAAACCACAGCTTTCCTGCACAGGAGCCTACGCTTTTCCTCCAGCTGCAGTAAGAGTCACTGGCACAGCACAAAACGGGGACATAAGGGTAACTCAGAGGCAAGCAGCTGAGGAAACACAGGCCCCTTATTTAAGAGAACGCTGCTACCACTGCAGATGCTTTGGCCTAGGCCTTGCACCTCTTGCTTAGAGAAAAGCCATCTTGCTTTCAAGCTAAATAAAGCCCAACTTACAGTATTTGGATTGGTGAGATTCCTTGCATCTGTCAACCAGCTGCTTAAGTGATTATACGTACTTCTTCTGCAAAGAACCAAGTGAGTACAGGTTTAGCTACAACATTTAAATACATAAGTGCCAATAGCATAGTCAGCATCCACTGAACACACCAACATCCCCATTCGTCTCCCCAGCCTCAAGAACAAAGCAGCAGCATCTTGTTTGGACTCCAAGATCTTACAGTTAACTTTAAACCCCCAGAGCAAGTCATGCACCAGAGCTGGAAAATTCTGCTATGAGGTAGTTTCACTGTCTTCACAAGGACACCACATCCATTGTTTTGTATAGCACACATTAAAGGATTTCCTGTCAAATACTCTTACATAACACCGGACAGTACCACAGCACCTTGGTAACAAACAGTGCGTAAGATTATTTATGTTTTACTCAAGATTTAAGCAGAGAGGAGATAGAGCAGAAAAACAGAGGTGCATAAAGAATATCAAGATCAGCCCCAGAGGAAGATGGGAGACATGCGAAAGCAAAAGTATCTCATGTTGCACATCTGATTAATTGTTCTTTTAGCAGCATCTTTGATTTTAATCTATAAAAGAAGACAGGATAGCTCCTATGCAGTCTCGTTTTGTTGGAGGACCAGCCCCTGAAGAAGCCCAGAAGGCGACCTTCTGCAATGCTCTCATCTGTACCGAGTCTGTCCGGCGTGCTTACACAGCCCGCTGCAACAAGGCAATATTCTGTCCTGCCTCTGCTCTCAGCCTGTTCCTGCCCGGTACACAGCAGTGCCCACTGCCTCCCAGGAAGAGAAAAATCCGTATACTCAACAGCAGATTTTAAGGGCAAAGCCAGTTCTTTAAACAACTTCACAGGGCAGACAAGGCCTGAAATGGTCAGATCCTCAGGTCTGTCAGCAGTGAAGTTTTCCAGGAAAAGCAGCTCACATCATTCCCAATGTTTCATTTTCAGCTCTTTAAATACTTAAAAGTATTTAGATAAATAATGTGGTAAGCATCACATAACAGAATACAAATCCATCCAGACAGAGTCCTTTAAGTCAAGGGGACAGACAAGACAGTACACTAAGGCTGCTGTACCCAAATAGCTCATCAAGCACACCCAGACCTACGATACCAGTTGGACCAGTCAACAGCACCTTACCTGGTAATGTCATAGACCATGAGAGCTCCTGCTGCTCCTCTGTAGTAGCTTCGTGTGACAGCCCTGAATCTCTCTTGTCCTGCTGTATCCCAAATCTGTAGTTTAATTTTTTGGCCACTAACTTCAATTATTCTTGTGCCAAATTCAACACCAATTGTGTGGGGACAGTCTGCCATAACTGTCATGAAAAACAAAAGCAAAGATCAAATCTTTCTAGTACAAGGTCTCCTTGCTACAAAGATATTACTATCACCAGTTTTCAGTTATCTTTACTAGATTTTCAGTCTCTAAGAAATCACTTTTACAGCTGCAGTACCCAAACTGTATCACTTAAGCAGAAACAAAATGAAGCACTTCCTGAACTGCTGTTAGTTTTAAGAACAGCTATAAAATTCCTTGACTTCTCTGACACACAACACTGATGCTGTTTGGCCATATATATATCAAAAGATATCAAGTCAGGTGATTTTCATTCTATCCTTGCAGAAGTGGTCAACTATTTTAATGCAGTAGGAAAAGATAACTTTTAGGGAATTACCAAGATACTGTTAAAAGTCTGTAACACAGCTTCAAAAACAAATTTCCAAGTTGTTTCGGACAGTGCAATAGCATGCCCAGCCACAGGAAAAAGCCAGTTTCGTAAGTAGCTATCAACACAGCCAATCAAAACCAAAAAGGCATCTTTCTAGTTACAATAAACTCATCTTTAAAGACTGATCAAGAAAATACAGAAAGGATGAGTACCCATTCAATCTACCTACAGTTAGTGACAGTCTTGAGTGGAGGTGTTTGGTACGTTACTTTTTTCGGTTGCATTGCTTCAGCTTAACGCTGACAGCTAAGAACAAGACAGCCTCAGCAAGAATTCGATAATACACAACGTGGCGTTTCAACAACTGGCTGATACGGGATTTTGATTAAAAGCAATAGTTAAGAAATCCTATTTCCAGCAGAACATAGAAATATTTTAAACTGTAGCTTGCACCCACTCTATCGCCACATCTCAAGCAGCACATGGAGAAAGCTAACTTTGTGCGAATAAATACCTACAGACTTATCTGCTGAGTGTGAGCTACATGGAAAGCTGTAAGAGCTAGCAGCCCCTGCAAACTCCAATGCAAAACAAAATTAAGATGAATTGAAGCTAATTCTTAATTAGTCATGATAGCATACATGGAAAAATGTGACAGCTGAGACAGATTGCAGTAAGCCTTAAACATCATCACACGAGGCAGGCCAAGTGTCATGAGTCACAGCAGCTACAGAGAATGACAGTGCTACTTAAGTCTTCAAACAAAGAGTCAAAGAAAAGTTAATCCTTTTTTCTTTTTGAAGTCCTGCAAAGCACTAAAACACTCCAACTGCTTGCGGAGTCTGGTCTTCCCACTCATCACACAAAGGACTGACTGAAGCAGCAGTTTTGCCATTACTACATCAACATTTTGTTTCTAGATCTGCAGGAGTCAAAACAAAAATCCCACCAAGTACAATACAAACCCATAGAGATTAAGACAGACACCACATCAAGCTCATGCATGATGGAAGCAAAAAGGCAAGAAAGAAGGATGAAGCACATCAGTTAGAATAAATATTGTGAATTGAAATACTCACACTTCTTTTCTGTAAATTGATGAAGCAAACAGGACTTTCCTACACCCATGTCCCCTGTTACAGAAAGAATAGTTAAGGCTGACGCCACATCATTGTTGCAACAAGCACATTTTCTTCATCCCACACAACTGGCACAGAGACAGGCAGTCACTCCCTTCTCAGGTCTAGTTGGCAATGTTCTGTTCCTGGCTACAGTCCTCAAATTTATCAACTTTTGCACTGTAGTTTTGGTAACAGGTACAGGGTTGCAAGCAAGGGTTGAACAGAAAATTCAAGAGAAGTTAATATGTATTTCTGATTTTACAGCTGTATTTCACAAGGTTATGAGAAACAGAAATGTAAAATACACCTTCTGAGTGTTGGCCCTGCTCCTGTCTTACCTGCAATTACTGATAAGGACATCAAAAATACTGACAACCAACCAGGGGAAAAAAAAAAAAAATAATCAAGAAATTCCTTCACTTCCACTGATGCACTCAGACAATGCCAAGATCTTTTAAGAAGCAACTTTCCCACAGGCTGAGGCTGTCACAGCAGCCTGACTTACAAGCCATGACAATAAGACTGCAGATCACTTACATCTACACAAGATCATTAAGAATTAAACAATTAACACCAAGATCAGTTCTTCCAGGATAGTAATAAATGCAATCAAGTCCCCAACTCTGAACAGACAAGGAAGCTGCAGATAAAAGCAACATTTAAACACGAAAAGAGAGCCTGACAGAGGTTCCTAAGCTAGTCTAAAGCAATGGATTCCAATTGGCACTCGTGTCTTCAGAGATTCTAAAACCTTTGAGACTAATGATGCAGAGGCAGTCAAAGTGCTACAGCAAACCTGAATCAACACAATATCTCAGTTGTGGTGATTCTCAATAAAGTTTTTTTCCCCATTTCCAATGGATTTAGCAAATTTTCTAAATATAAACTTGATTTAGGTACAAAAGGGACCACACGCCATGTTTTTAGAATGACTCTTTTTTTCTAGTGCTCTGCAGAGGGCTAAGCCTTGTGGCACTAACAGCGAAGATGCTGAGGAATACTGAAGGATGTATGTCAAGAATAAGTTATTTTTAATTATCTCAGCAATAAAGCAAACTCAACACAGGCACTGGTACTTGCACCACTCCCAGTTCACCTGCCTCCAACCACACAGCTCTAATTCTGCGGTGCGTAAAGGCATTTGCCTTTATATTGTCAGCTGCTAAACCTTTAGAGCAAGTGTGGTGATCCATGAAGGACCAAGGTTGGACAAGTAACTACTGAAAGAATCACTCCTAAAGGTAGCAAGTAGCATGCACCAGAAGCCAACAATAGTATAGCCACTGGGCCGGCAGGCAGGCTGCCACGCATATACACACTGACACGGACAGGTACGCGCCCAGGGATACTTACCAATAATGATGTACTTAAAGATGTAGGAATAGTTGTAAGGTGCAGTTGCCATTGTGGCACTAAAACAAAAAACAGAACACATCAGAACTGCTACTTGTTCACCAAACTCAACCCAATTCATCCAGTTTAGTTCATACAAGCAAACAAAATCCCCTTCCTCTTGCCCCAATTATCCTTAAATTCACAGTTCAAAGTTTGTGTACTTCCCCACGGTCACTGAATTAGTGCCAGAGACATTCAGCAGAACTCCCACATCATTTGCTCTGTACCCCTCTCAGTAAGGACTCTAAGTAGAAACATGCTCATTCAATTTTATCCAGAACAACTTAAAGCTGTTGAAAAGCTCCAGTAGCTTCTTGCTTTGTACAGTCACTGCGTGGACCAGCACTCACTCGCCAAATACCCAATATATGAACTGAAAATAAAATCTGACTCCAAAAGAAAAATCTGAAGAGATTTAGCAAAATCAGCAGTTTGGAATTATTACCTCACACTTTTGAGACTTGCAACAGGCACAAAGGAAACAGTGCAGCTTGCATCAAACAGCTAAGAATTACTTCATGCTATAGTAGCCTTCACTGGGGTCTGGACTGCTACATGCCCACGTCAGAAAGAAGGACAAGCCACAAATCAGTGTTCAGGAAGTTAGTTAACATCCCTGTAGCTTTGTCAGCACAGCAGCATTGCAGCAAGGCTTGGCAGTTTCTCCATAAGTGACAGTTAAAATTAGGTTGGGGTAAGTACTTCCAGTATTACAGAGTTTTCCTATTCTTTCCTAGATGTAGGAGGAATTAGAACTGGCTTCAGCTGTGTAAACCTGCAAGGAGTACTAGCTGACTTAACTACTGTCAGTTAACCAGGATGACAAGTCTATACAGCCCAGATACTGCCAGTTAACATAAAGGATGCAAAATGCCTGCTTTTGTCCCAGCTTTTAAGTTAAACTAGATATATAGCGCGATCAGTTAAGCAAGTGGAAAATTTCTACTAGGAATTCACCATTTCCTTTCCTGCTCCTGCACGGCAGATAGCCAGCCCTTAGAAAGACAGGGTACTTCTTATAAAGAACACTGCTTCAGCCTAGAAAGGTTTTCATTCAGTCATGTGTCATTCACATGACAAATGAAACCAGTACAGTAAAGAAATAAAAACACCAGAAAGCTTACAAGCCTGTAACTTTTTCAAAAGCAAAGTATTCTTCCCTCAACCACAGCTACTCCATAACAGCGGACCGCAGTCATAAGGAAGAAGGTGACTGACAACAAATCTCACTCCCAGTACACAGCCAAAAGCCACCGCTTCACACAGCAGAGGTTTAAAGCAAACGCTCTTATCTAGACCTTGGAGGGGGAACAGCTCTACCAGGCAGTTAAGGAGGGTTTACTGCGTGCCAGCCGCCGATCTGCACCTTGCCTTTCCTTTGTGCTTGACTCACAGTATGGAAACTCTCAAGTCCTGTCGCAAGTGTAGATGCTGTGCATCCTGCTATGCCCTATATATACACACTGTTCTATTAAACCAAGTGTTGTCCAACATAAAGACAACTTTAGTAATTCTTGTATTTGTTCGCAAGACAGAATTCCACCCATTTCAATCAAGAAAATTTTAAAGGAAACTCTTCTGCCACAGTAGAGGGAAATCTCATGCAGCCATCCCACACCACCTTTGTCCTCCTCAGCCTCTGGCAAATAACCGCTCAGTGGACAGACCACTTCTCACTGCTGGACTGGGTAAGAACTCGCATCCATGACTGAAAAACACACCACACTGCCCTTTACCAAGCCAGCCAGCAACTTTACTGCCTTATTTCTGGGAAGCGGAAGATTCCAGAGTTATAGTATCAGCTTCAATATATGCACTGATTATTTTCAACACCAGCAAATAAAGATAAGTAACTGCTCCATACAGAGTTCAAAATTAATGTGTCCTTGTGGAAACATCCAAATATTCTGAACGTGTTCACATACTATGTTCTTACTGCTACTGGGGCATGCTGGAGAAGAGGAACATTCAAACTCAGCATCGTCTGGTCCCATCTTGTTCTTACAGGATACTTGACTTGCCACTTGCTTTCCAAGTATATTCACAGCTCAATTCAGTTGGATAGTAGACAAGGTTAAACTGGAGGATTGTGAGGTATGTAAGTGGAAGTACAAAAAAAAGAACCTGAAAAGGCCAATTTATGTGCGAACGCTTCAGGAGGAGAGCATGGACTGTGCTATTTTCCACAGAAAGCAGGCGGGTGCTACAGCCACAACACAGAAAGAAAGGCAGAGACACGGAGCAGTACTATGCATCTGGCTTGAAAGATCCACGGTGCTCTCTGAGGATGGTAGAATCTAGTAACTTACACTGTTTAAAAAAAAAAAAAAAAAAATCAGCATATTGAACTCCCAGGTAGGGAACCACTCCTGTGGCTATGAAACCTGTCCTGCAGAAACCTGGGTGACCCCCTCTCTTCCTTCACAATCCTAGCTGGCCACTCAGAAATACTCAAAGAAGTTTCACGTTTCTGAGCACATGACTTTACAATATTCCTGTATACAACAAATGAGGGGAACACATACTACTATCCAAGCCTGTAAGCAGCATCACTGGAAGGTGAGGAAAGCTTTTTTTTTTTCTAAAATAATGGACTAACCAGGAACTCTGTGCAAGCTATATCAAACTGAATTTGAAATGAGCCTCTTAACTAGAACCTTTACTGCTAAATATATATCTGTTTATTAGGCAAATTGTAAAGTCTAACTCTGCTACTTCAATATAAAAGAAACTGTCACTGCTTTGTGACATATGCATCAAGATCAGCTGTCACTTCAAAGTGAGTGAGAAAACCAAAGTCCGTACTTGGCAACAAAGTCTGCTGAGAGATGGGTGGGAAGGGAGGACTAACTTCATTGTTAAAACTTCACCCTCAGTTCAGTGACATCAGGCCCCTAGAAGTGAGAGATACCATACCCCTCACCACAGCTTAAAGAAACAGATTATTAGCAGTGATACCCATAGATACATTTACTCATACAACAAGTCTAGACCTTCAAGTCCCAGAGAGCTGATGGAGAACTTAGTGTCTGACAGACATACGTCCGAAAGCTTGCAGAAACACAGATAGCAAGTTTAAACACAATTTCTAAAGTATTTCATTTATTCCAAGGGTCATGTTACAGACAATTTCCGAACTACTCCAAATTACCAGGAAAGGTCAGGAATCATTTCTGGAGACCAGTAACTTCTTTAAAAAATGAACTAAATAACAAACTTTTAAACACTCAAATTCCAATAAGGAGAAGCAGAAATCCAAACTATACTCTTGGAATAAAACTGATATTCCAGAAGGACTCTGTGCTGACAGGGAAAAAAATATATGCAACAAACTAAACACAGAAGCCACAGTGAGAACAGCCTTAGAAAACTTACACTCTCAGCATTTACCATAGAAGAAAGAAGGAAGTCTAGACAAGAATAGTTCACAACAGGATTCAATAAACACAAAAGTATTAACTACATAATAATGGAAGAGCTGATAGTATCAGCCATCTGTAGAAACTGGAGTTCTGCCTCCCCTTCAGAGCCCTCTGTTCAGACACGCAAATCCTGGTAATCCCAAGATGAGGGTCTGGGGTTTTCCTCTTGGGAGAGCAGGGGGGCAAGAACTGCAGGACTGAGACAGTTGCACATAAGCACACACAACTTACCTCCAGCCACGGCTGACATTACACAAAGTTAACCAATTGTGAATTTACTGCTTACAAAAAGTGAAAGAAGTTTAGCCTGGAAGCTTGGCCTGCCTGCCATCTTTCTTCTGGGAAAGTCTGCCAACTTTTTAAAGAGTTTTGGCTCCCTTTCCAGAGGTAACACTGCCCCAGAGTTTAGAGCATTATTTCAGAATGACAACTAGCCAAAGGATCATGCTTCACCATGCACAGATTTCTGCTAATTTCAAAGCCTGTGCAATTAACTTCTGTATTACAGTTAGGACTAGAAATTTCATAGTGAACAGTGTCACCATAATCCATTTTCCATATACCAACTTCTCATTTAGAGGCTTATTTTTAAAAAGTTAAAAATGACCTTAATGAAGATAACAGTGACACCTACGTTTCCTCCTCTAATCAACAAGCACTACATACATATTTTGACATCTCACTGAAGCCTTATTTCAGGTATCAGCATACATCTGTACAAACTGAGATAAGGCTGTTCTAGGTGCACTGCCGAAACATTCTTTATCAAAATAATGTAATTGTAAATGTCATATCCATACAGCTCTTGTGAGACCCATGCAGTTCCTTCTAGCTCAACTCAAGGACATAGTCAATTTTAACTCTTCACTGGATACCATTTGCATAGAGAAATTTCACAGCTTTATGCTCAGCAAGAAGCAGGAGTGTTATTAGAAGAGGCTAGAACCTGTATGCACAGGTTTTCCTAGACACTGCATCTGGCCATCCATTCAGTCATTCCTTAAGGATATGCAACAGCAAAGGATCTCACAGCTGAGGTCCAACTCCCCAATGCCATCATATCATTCCTTTCATAAATTGAAACAACTTTTAAAGAGCTGTTTTTAAATTTCGAAGAAAATATTAGTTGCACAGAAGGGGAACAATAAATAATAACTACTATTTAGAACAGCTTCTAAATCTCTAGATAAAATGAATAGGTAGTTATCCTCTTTCCCAGGGCACGATCTTCCTTCTCTGCCCTGCATATTTACTTAGATGTTAATTAACAGTGAACACTGAGAAGAGATCAATAAGGGGAGGAAGAACTGGGGAGATGTAGAATTGTTTCGATTCATAATTGCACTATTCCCCTGATTAAGACTTTTGTCAAGTACACAAAACAACAGAGTCTAACTGGTACCTTTAGCAGGCTGCTAGAAATAGAGTCTTTAATTGCTTCAATTGTGGTCTTCTGTAAAAGTCACACCCTACTGGAAGGTAATAACAGTTTTGTTATCAATTAATACACCCAAGCAGTGAATTCCCATGGCAACCTATGAGGTCTATTACAATTAAATTTCATTGTGGTTCTATGACTTCCACACACCAA